TAAGCGTCAGCGCTGGGAAGGGTCCCTGCCAATCTTGGAGAAAAGGTTTGCATTTCGATAGAGCAAAGCATAACCCAAAACGATTGACAGTCAGTGCTAATCGGTCCAGTGCAGCCTTGCACGTTTAGGCGCTGTCACAGATTAGGGCACTATCGTCCGCATACTCTAAGTTTAGAAGTCGTTCACCAGGAAGTAGCTCTACACCTTCTAGATTGTGTCCAGCGATCGCTGTTTCCATTACTTCGTCAACTGCGAAATTAAAGAGGAAAGGTGACAGCGGGCAACCTTGTCTCGCAGCGCTGATGATACTGAAGGGTGGTGACAGTTTGCCATCAACTCTTACTCTTCCCGAACTATGCCATTACAGCGCGTTGATAATGTTTACACATTTATCATGCACACCTTTTCTCAGCAGACAGTCCCAAAGCGCATATCGATCAACCGAATCGAAGGCACCTTTGATGTCGAGAAACATGACAACGGTGGGTCGCCAATAAACATGGCGGTGCTCCAACAATTGACGCAATGTGAACATGTGGTCGATGCAGCCTCGTTTTTCACCAAACCTGGCTTACTCTTCGCGGATCTGGTTTTAACGAGCGCCAGTCAGTCTGTGGAGAACGACAGACGCAAGCAATTTAGAGGCGATTGGGATCAGACTGATCCCTCTATGATTGCGGCATTCTGAAGGGGAGCGTTCCTTGAAAATTGGAACAATGACGGAACGGCTCCAGTTTGTCGGGACAGTTTCCTGTTCCTAAAGTCCCATTAGCAACTCGTGTAAACCATCCACAAGAGCAGTTACCCCGAATTTGTAGAGTACAGGGGAAATTCTATCTGCACCAGCGGCCTTATGCAATTTCAACAGTCTGATCTCACGTTCGACTTCTGCACGTGAGGGCGGATCTAAGGAGACGGTCCATGGTGAAGAGTACTCAATGTCCGAAAGAGAAAGCGATAACCCAGATTGGTTAAACTGCCTTGCAAAGTGTTCGGCCCAACGCTCCAAGTGTTTTGACAAGCTGTGGATCGGCTGTCCACTCTCGTTGCGTATGGTCTCGCTAACACCAGGTCTCCTGCTGCCTGTTTCTCCTATCAGACGGAATAACTTACGATGATTACCAGTGGCAGCGGCTGTTTCCATTTCCGATGCACAATGAGAGAACCAGGCTTCGCGGTCTTTCTTCAGACTAGCACGCAGTTTTGCCCTGAAATTTTTGCGAGTATCATTGTATTCGCTTACAGCAGGACCACGTCGGCAAGCGTCCATAAGTTCAAGAGACTGTGTAGAGACCAAAGGTCTAGGTTGGCAATTTGATTTGCCACATGAAGACATGCCTGCTGATAGTAACGTTTGACGAATATGCGATCAGTGATATTCGACGGTGTTTAGTGGACGCTTACTCAGCCCAGATTCCAGCGTAGTTTGATATGCATTCAGAACACCCAGCTTCGCCATCTGGCTGGTATCAATACACTCAGAGTTACGTTGCGGAAGTCCGACGAAACGCACCCACAGGTCGACACACACGAGAGCGTGATCGGAGTCCACGATGATGCTCCAAGTCGAGCGACAGTTTTGGACACAGCCTCTCCAGCGGTAACTAATCACGATGTGATCGATTTGCGTCCATGGCTGTCCCGAGACTGGTGGACGCCAAGTCACACTTCTGCGGGTGCTGTGTCGAAAGTTAGTGCTCGCGAAAAACAGACGACACCTTCACACAGGTGTAGCAACCACTCACCGTTATCATTACGGGAGCCTACACCATGTTGGTTGCCCAGATGAAGTTCATCAGAGGACAATTTTCCGACTTGGGCGTTTTGATCACCAGCAAGCACCACAGTATTCGTGCTTCTTTTGTAACGAAGAAGATCGTTAACTTGGTGGTAGAAATAATCTTTCACCGAACCAGGGCTGCAGTTTGTGGGGGCGTAAGCCGCAATGACAAACAGACACCGTTTGTCCCGGCGCAACTTAGAAGCCTGGAACGAGCCAGCCAACCTAACGGGGCATATCCGGCTGTTGACAGGGATCCAGTCGATCAGGGCAGCTTCAGCCCCGGGACGCAAAATAATGCCGACGCAAGCTTGACCTGTACTTGAAGCTGCATCGTCGCCAGACAGGCGCAATGAGAATGTGCCGCCAGTATCGCATGTGGGGGATCGCAGATTAAGCACAGGGGTGGAATCATGCACGCGGGTTTCTGATAAACAGCAAATATCGATCGATAGGGTCTTTAGTTTTCGGGCAAGTGCTGCCTGTTGACCAATCTGTAGCAAAGTGCGCACGTTGAGGCATGCCAGTCTTAGCGAGACTCGAGTACTCCAAGTACTCCAACGGATGAACTGCCGTTGTCCGCTTGGTTGAACATGGACTTGTCGACTGGATTGGAGCGACGCCCTGCGATTGTGTGTGAGTTGAAACTAGAAGACAAGCGACTATTGAAGCAAGGTGGGGGAGAGCCAAGAACTGGGGGATTGAAAACGGTGGGATGAAAGTGAAGTTGGAACGGGACGCTTAGGATGGAAAAGCGCAAGAAGGAGGAATAAGAAGACGGGAAGGTTGAGCAGTAGCATCCAAACCCCTGTCCACTATGCTCGATGCAGTAGATAAGGCGCCGTTTATTATCCTCTGCGACGGCCAGAACATCAATAGATTGTTAGAAAGAAAGGTCATGGTGTATTGCGTGGGCAGGATACTTTCAGATTGCCCAGGCCTAGACAGGAGAACGAGTAGGGTTCTCAACCAAAGCCTTTGGTTCAAAACCTTAACGCAATATAGTGGGTTTGGCGTTGGGCTACAAGGAGTCCGTTTTAAGGAATAAGGAGGGATCCTCGCTCTAACCCCCCAAGCTGGAGGACCAGGAGACTGAGTTTGCCTGGCCTCTAACCATTGACCAATCTGGTATGAGTGGCTCTGAAAGTGCAAGAAGCACCACGCAGCACAGCTCAATGAATCTCTGAGACAAGCAAACCATCGCACCATTGTAAGGTCGCCCAACGATGTCGGTTAGCTGCACGAACATGAACAATGTGCACAGGTTTGGTTGATTGGGACCCCCAGGTCAAAACAAACGAAGCGTTTCATCCCATGTATCGCGTAGCCAGACGCTATACATGCGGGCAGATGTCGACCAATCATCATCAGTACACATTAGCTGAAGGAGCGGAACGCAATCCAACTACTGTGACGCAATACAATGGCAGTGATCAAAGCGGTCGCCGCTCGGCTTCATGTACCTGGCCTACGCGCGCATAAGAAAATTGTTTAGCGCTCAGTTTACACTGTCCCCCAAAAACACTGGCACATCGCGTGGACAACATCGCCTATATGGCCTTGATCACATGGTGAAACAGCTCGGTTACCAAGACCATCTAGACTACTTAATTAGTACTCATTTACGTTGCTTACGCTTGCGTCACTCATTCGGGGTGTAGAAGCCTGATGACGAACAACTGGAAATGGACATGATCGCTAACTTCCGTTTCTGATATCTTGTTGGTTATAACAATCATTTGGCAGTTTGAGTGAACGCAATCAGATCCGCCACCATAAACCGGTGAGTGGACAAGTTGCTCAGCCGAACCGAACGGGATCATGAACTGAACGTAACCACAAATACCTATTTAGTACAGATGAAGAGAATAATGAGAAAGATGGGGAGTTCGACAGCACATCTTTTGGTGGGGTGAATTGGTCGTGTTGTCTCACCAACGTACTTCGTGCACCCTCAAGCCATCGTGGCATGTTGAGTACGTTGTTCTTACATCATTCATATCGAGTCAACAGACCTTTCACTGTTCACAAGGCCTTTTCTTGAACATGTATGCATTGTCATACTATCCCAATGAATCGATAGAGCTCATTTTGTGGTTTGGTGAGTACCGCGCCACCCATACAAGGTTTTATTTCCAAAAACGTTTATGTCACTGAAGCAGTGGACTAGGGTAGCCAAGTAAACATTCCCGACACACTGGATCATCTGAACTACTTATGTGATAAACACAATCTGAAGTAATTGACAGTGAACCAGATGCGTATCTTTCCCAGCTAAGTGTTCAATTCCGATGGTCTGTTTAAACTCGTACGCCGAATGAACCGAAACGGTGTCCTGACGTTACCTGTGACGCTGATCTTCCCCATTTCGGCGACGCCTACTGAGTACCAAGCTTCTCGGAAAAATTTTAGACGTTGATTTGGATGCTGTTTCAGAGTGTGGTAGACATTCCAAAACTAAGTTCCCAACGACGCAGATAATTGTGCTTCCATCAGGCTTACCGAAGACCTGCAATTCCATCCGTCAATCAGAAGTTTAGGTTCTCCTGCACAAGTGTCCTGTAAAACTCTTCTCAAGGTGCGCTGGAGGTAAATTCTAAATGCCTTCGGTTGGTCCCAACTCAAGCGTCAAAGGAATCAGTTGCTAACTGAAGCTCGATTTACTCTTACGACAGTTCCGTGTAGTTTCGAATGTTTTTCGAAACGGGACGTCTCGGTTGGTCTGGTTGAAGTGTTCAAATGACGGTATCCAAGAGACCGCGTACGTCCATAAAAGTCAAATACTGCAGCCCATGTGAGGCTAGGTAAAACATATGTAAGTAATTCGTGTGATAGGTGGTCTGTTAGCCGCAAGAAGTCCTGTCCTGAATGCAGAATGAAATAACTATGATTTTTAAAAGTGCAGATGCTGAGCGAAATGTCAGTTGAGAAGGTATAATGTAGCTGGAAGATAGTGAAAGACGGAAGAAGAGAGCCGTCGAATGAAGGTTAAACATGTGTGTGCTCTTCCTTTGAGAGGGATAAAATTGGTAGAATTCCTTACTAAATGGACCGAGAATGATGCTGAACCACAGTTCAGTAATTCGGCATGCTTCGCATAACGTTAAGACACGTCGCTTAACGAATTAAACAATATATTGCTCAAATGTGTTTGCACTGGCTCGTTTGCATACCCAGGGGAAAAACGGCAACAGCATATGAACGGAAATGGTCAACATACCTGAAAAGTATATCGTATCTTCGTGTAGTTTGTGATAAGTTCACCTCGAGACAAATGATAGCACCAGTTAAGTTTTCGTCCAGTATGATGTTCTTGATAAAATTGTAGAAATGTTGTGTGGTAACGCTCCAACTAATTGAGATCCAAATAGAAAAATAAAGTAATTGATTAAGAAAAATCACAACGGAGACAGTAAAATTGGATCTAATAAGCACACTCGTTTGAACGGCAAAAGAACACTAGAAAGTTTCCATGGTTTACAGGTTTAAGTTTGATCTCCTGTTGCGCATATAGGATAGATAGTCTAGCCCGTGGATGCTGTAATTTGGACTTTAGGGGAACGGAGAAAGATATGAAGGGTGTAATGAGGAATGAAATCCAGAGTAAAGAGGAGGTTCTGTGATGGTCCAACATCACAAAAGAACTTTGTGTGGGGTGTGGAGTGAAAGAATAAATGCGCAGTTGTTTCATGGATCAAAAAATTCAGAAAAAACTACAATCGTGTACAAGGGAACATGGCTTTTATAATCCCATTATTCACGACGAAAACAGCAAAGGCATTAACACCGGTAGGTTAAGCTTGGGGGAAAAAACTGGTCACTAGCAGGAATAAGAGTGGAGACAGATGAGATTATACGCCGTTCATAGAGTGTTTCGGGTTCCATAAAATGCGCCATGAATAACGAAAATAAACAAGGGAAAGGCGTTGCGGAATATCGAGATACACTGGAGAATAAAAGACACAACTTTTGGGCACAAGCATGTTGGTGACACCACAGCGAACCAGCGCATCAGATCTTATTAGATATGTGAATTATGGGTGACGCGTAGACCAGGTGGTTTTGTTGAAGCCGAATATTTTCAACAATAGGCGAAACCACATACCATGTAAAACCACGACCGCGATGTGTCAGCCAACTTCGTTGAAATGTTCCTCAGTTTACAAGCAAACAAAAGCGGTCCTCTGCCGGTATAGTCTATCTCTAGTGCCGCACTCAGTTTCCGGCAATCTCATGCACCCATGGAAATCCAAAACTAAGCAACACACAGGAGCACCACAGTGATAAGGTTGAAATCAATGCACAAAGAAATAGCCACAGAAATTCACATCCCGAATGGCATCAGCAGTACACCGGTACACCGTACCGACGCTTCGCTGCCGCACAACCAGCACCAGTCGCACGTGGGCTAAGGATATTGCGAGGATCGTCCGGTCCCTACGCAGACTCGAACCCGCGACCTCAGGATTACAAGATAAGCCTGTGATCCTTGAGGCCACGACTCCAATGATCAGACCAGGAGGCAGCCAGTGATGCCATGTGACCGGAAAGGAAATTGAGGAATAAGAAAGTGAAACTGCAATGTAAATCAACAGATAAACCTACCGCTTAGTTCCATTAGATAGCATGATTCTCATGAAAGCTGAATCACGTTTCCACACATCGCCAGGAGCTAGGGCTACAACACTTACGAACAGTCAAGCAAGACAACCTTGACTGGCAACAAGATCACCTAATACACCAGACTACATCAGTTCATCACGATACCTGAGACAATTCGTCTCACAATGGAATTGATATGCCACGATTGTCGGGAGGTATGCATTACATGTGCGCGAGGGAAGTCTGCACAACTTCACCCAGACCAATGGAGTGATTTAGGACGGCTCATGTAGCTCCACAACGCTTCAGTTGCCCTAAGGGTAGTAGCACAGCACCGTATAAGTCATGAATGAAGTGTAGAATGACTTGGAACAGCTGGTGTTACGTTAGAGATGAGAAAGTTGGTTAAGTAAGTTAGTTTAGCCCAACTGGGATGAAGAAGCATCATGAATGCAACATCAGCCACAGCATAGGGTATATATATATATATATATATATATATATATATATATATATATATATATATATATATATATATATATATATATATATATATATATATATATATATGGATCATGTCCTGGACGCCTTCTCGTGGCAACCGCTGGGTGGGAATTGGGTTACGCGCTTCTCCTTGCTAAGATCCAGGACAACAATCCGCATGAGTCAGTGAACTGACCATATGATAAACCCGCTGCTTTTCGTGGGTACATTTAATCGAAAGCTTTGGCTGAGGACCCGAGTCGTTCTCCTGTCAGGTGTGGGCGCCCTGCCAGTATACTAGTCCATCCTCTTCGGAGGTTAGGAAGTGGTCGATCGCTTTCTTCCAGTAAAACCTAGCCATGGGAGACAACAGGTCTACGGGTTATAAGCTCACAGCTCGATTGGCGTAGAGCACGAGCGCCACGCATTGTCTCTGACGGTGGAAGGGCACCTCCGGGTGTTCGATGGTTTAGCACTGTCCGCCTCAAGCCAGGCAGCCCCTGATCAAATTGGAGCAAACTGGCCAAAACCCATCTCCGTCTGGCCGTGGTCGCAGGTGCATATCTTAACACGGTCGGAAAACACAAATAAATTGTTCCAGAACTTCGAAGGCTGCGTGTGACGGCCGTCAAGCAGATCCCAATCTGCGTCTGCGTCTGGATCTGCTCCCCGATGTCTTGTGAATCAGACTAATGAGCTAAATGCTCTGGGTTGAGTCCCTCAAGCAAACCTACAGATCACCCACTGCCTTGTGGGTCAAGCTATCGAGCCAAAGGATACGGGTGGAGTCCCTCAAGCAAACCTCCGAAGCACAACCACCACTTTGCGTGCGATTGCGCACCAATGCAATCGTATGCTTGCGCCAAAGCACTCAGCATTGGGTGCTGGAAAGTGCGCACACTACTGGATCGGAACTCCAGCAAGCGCCCAGAGCGACGCACTGCACTGGTCGCGATGGAACTGGCGCGCTACCACATCGATATTGCGGCGCTCAGTGAAACCCGGTACGCTGAGCAAGCTGCATGAAGCAGGTGCTGGCTACACATTCTACTGGGTAGGCAACGCCGCCACAGCACCATGTGAACATGGAGTCGGATTTGCACTATCCGATCGCCTCCATGGCCAGCTCGTGGGTGAACCAAGAGGCATCAGCGCGCGACTGATGACTGTTCGCCTACGGCTCGGATGAGGTAAGTTTGCCACTTTTATAAGCATGTACGGTCCGACCGTGTGTTATCCTGATGACATGCCTGTTCAATTATACACTAAGCTATCCTCAGTGATATGATCTGTACCGAGGAGCGACTGACTAGTTCTGCTGGTTGATTTCAACACGCGTGTTGGGCATGATGCATTGGTGTTGACAGAGGTCATCGGTCCGCACAGCATTGGTTCAGCAAATGCAAACGGTGATAGGCTGCTCTCATTGTGTGCCACTCAAGGCCTGACGATCACGAACACTCGGTTTGCACTGAGTGCGAGTGATATAGCAAACTGGACGCACCCACGGAGTGGTCACGATCACCTGCTCCACTATGTCATCGTACGTCAGCCTGATATGCGTGTAATGTGCATGACACGTGTACTGCGTAAAGCTGAGTGTGGCACTGATCACAAGTTGGAGCGGACCAAACTGTACATATATTTTCATAAATCTATTTATTGCACTCCTGCCGTGAATCGACGTAAATTTAACATTCTCTCCCTTGGTAATGTGGCGAAACGTATTGAACGGGAGAAGGCGATGATTGCAAGCCTGTGTGATGTGGAATGCATAACCACGTTGGGCGACCTGTGGCACCACATTCGCGACCAGATGACAGCTGCTGCCGAGGAGACCATCGGGTGCGCAAACTCTAAGCGGCCTGATTGGTTTGATGACAACAATGCGACGATTGGCGCATTGGTGTCGAGGAAGAATGCAGCATTTGCTGCACATGTCGCAGACCCCAGTGACTTGGGGACGAAGTGTCAGTTTCGCAAACTTCGACAGCGACTGACCCGAGAGCTCCGTCGCAATAAAAATGCATGGTGGACGGAGAAGGAGAAGCAGATGAAATGTTACGCCGAACGCCGCCAACACAAGGAATTCTTTGACTCCTTGAAGGCGGTGTATGGACCGAGATTGCAGACGCTGAGAACGCTGATCGTTGATAGTTCAGACGCTACCTACACACAGACTGCAGACATAATGCAGATCCGGCAAAAACACTTTGACTGTCTCTTGAACAACCGTTCAGAGATCGACTGGCCTACATTGAACTGCTTGAAGCAAAAAGATGTGAAGGCGAGTCTAGCGGGCAGGCCGACCCTGGATGAGACGCAGAGAGCACTTGCTCAGCTGCGAAACGGCAAGTGCGCCTGAGCCGACGGAATCCCACCTGAAGTATTGAAATACGGTGGACCCGCGTTGGTGACTGCGCTGCACCACTTGGTGCAACGTGTATGGAATGAGGAGGAGGTGCCTGCTGAGCTGAAGGATGCCCTTGTGCTACCGCTGTACAAGGGCAAAGGCAGCAAGCAAGGTAGCACGAATAATCGTGGCATCAACTTGCTGAGTTGTGTAGGCAAGGTGATTGTCCGAAACCTGATCAACCGCTTCCTCAGTCAGGTTGTGGAACCGAAGATGGCGGAAGTGCAGTGTGGATTCCGTTCGGGTCGCAGCACTATAGATATCATAATCATCATCATCATACACGTTAGCTAGAGGTGGGGAACACCTCAGCTACTGTGCCGCAATACATAGAAAAAAGGAGAAAAAATGCAACTGGTGCAAGCTAGCTGAGCTACCGGTAACGGATGGGCATCGTTCCGGTAAGCTACCAGCCGGCTGCTGCGCAACAAAAAAGTTACTATGCAAAATTATATAAGGCTATATGGTGAGATCGTGGTTGGAGGGGGAGGCTAAGATGGATGGGGAGGGACAAAGAAACTCACAGCACGAACGTCGTTGTGGTCGACTCCTAGCCATGTCATCAAGTGTGTCCAACCAACCGTGTTCATCGTCCTTCAGACCCCAACCAGGGAGCCGAGACGCTCCAACCGAGGTCAGTTCCGAAGTGAGGGCCTTCATTCCACTGGACCAAGTCATCGCTTGGCCACCCTCCTCTTCCATCCACATCCACGCTGAGCAAACAAGGCACGTCGTGGAAGTCGGTGGGCTGGCATGCGCAACACGTGGCCTAGCCATCGGAGCCTGGTGCGTGAAATGACGGGGCTGTGCGGTTCAGTTCCTTTTTCTGTGTCGAAAACAAGGCGTAGAACACG